AACCATCCTTCTTCGAGGAATTCCGCTCTATCCACTTACCCTGTTTAGTCCCCTCCTCCATCCTTGGTGACAGGCTGCCCGAAGATAGGCTATCCTTGGCACCGAACTTCTATTACTCCTTCCCACCCTCGGCTGTCCATTGACACGCTCTCTCTGGCTCTTCATCAAGCAATTACTGTGCCTGGTTAAGACATCTCTGTACTACTTTTTCTTCACCCCTGTACCCCTCTCTAGAGAGGTTTCTAAGTCATCAGCTCTTACGATTTCTTCTGTACGAACCGCTACAATTTTATTCAAAGCCTAGACGCATTCAAAGGGTATTATGCCACTCAATAGCTTCGGCACGAAAGCTGATACGCCCCTCGTTCCAACAAGGCCATGCAGCGGTCTGTTGACCGCATTTTCACAAGGGCGTTATCTCCTTGTAACGAAATCACCTGATGTGCGCGCTTCACAGCAAGACATAAAAGGCGATGTCACGGTTTGACTCTTCAGTAGAAACACCCCCACCTTCTCCTCGGCCGATGTCAGACTTTGCAAATCGAGCGATTCGCTAGCGCCTGCGGTCGCGTCGCGGCCAGTGAATCACTCAATTGGCTGGTACCGCAACGCGACCGCGAGCGCTACCGCTCGATTCACAAAGTCTGACATCGACCTAAGGCAGCTACTACTGCTCTGTTCAAGGCTCAACCCCGCACGTACGACCCTCTTGCGGAGGATTCCATCCAACTCAGGTCACAACCAGCACATTTACATCACACACTTGTCGACAGAACAACACGGAACGGCCCATAAGCAAGCAAAAAGCGCTTCACCTTGACTACCTGGTTCATGACGTATTTCGCGAACAGGCGCTGCCCGATGTTATAGGCGACCATGAGGCGCTTGCACTGTCTCGCGATCTCGGCTGTGTTCAGAGCACGCGTGCCCAACGCACGAACGTTTCCTGCCACCCGAACCTACAAATAAGCAGCTCCTGGCCGCATGCCGTCATTTCTAGGAAACGTCAAGCTAAACTTCGAACTTTCTGGGGAATAATATTCCAAAACTCCGTATTCATAGAATTTTCGACATGAGGTCCATTTAAGGTGAAGGCGAAAGAAACTAACCTGAAGATCTTGGATGGCCTTCAGTTCCTGCGGCGTTTTTGCAGGTTCCCCTGTGTAGTTGGTGAGCTTCGGCGAATAACGAAAGTGCTCGAAAGGAATCTCCGTGGACGGTGATCGGGTGCTGTCCCCTCGCAGGGCAGCGGAGCCGTTCTCAGCATGGGAACCACCGGACGGCATCGATCCCATGTTCTGTAACCCTTTGCGACACTGAGGTGAAAACAAACGTATACGAGGACCACGCAAACTCCGTTTTACAATACATGCAACAGCCTTATAACTAAGGAATACAAGAATACAATATCAAAATCGAAATATCTACAGAAAAAAATACCATAAGAATTTTGAAGAGGTTTTGACGATCATCGGACTCGGTTTTACCCCGCTCGGACTCCTGCGTGCCAGCTTTTGATCGACGTCGAACCTTAAAAGGCGCAGTTATTTCTCAATTTTCCATTACCGTTCATTTTGCAGGTTTATTGAGAATGCCTCGACGAAAGCAGGGTTACTTCGATAGAAGACACAGGTTGCGATCAGTTTGGGGCATTAATTCGCTCAAAAGCCAAACAAGAGGATCGTCGCGAAGGGGATGGTCAGTGAGATAACAAAGCAAAAATAACCATGAAAAGCGCCCAGGCTGTAGATCTCCTTTTCTTGTGGGGATGACCGTGGTATGACGGAGAGACCCAGTGTGGCGAGGAAAGGAAAGGTGAAAGAACATGTGCTACGAAAGGGCGCAGACATAAGAGTAAGCTGCCAACGAGTAAAAATGAGAGCGGTCGCAGCGGTGAGAGCAAAGCCTTATCGTTAGCGTCATTGTCGCGACAGAAAAATTGGTTGAAATAAAAACAGCCAAGGTGGCCCAATTAGGGAATTACCTGATCAGCGTCGGCATCCACGTATCCCTCGGCCACTTCTCGTCCCACTCGGGTCGTCACTGCTTCTACAACTGTCTGGTGGCTGCCAGCTAAGATTGCCTGCATAATCTCATCGCCTGAAACCCTTTCCAATGGCTTCGAGAACGCCCACCATAGTTTTCCTTCGAGCATTTCACAGCTGCACCACAAGAGAGAAACGGACGAATGATATCATAAAAAGAGTGACCACGTGACACATACTGGCACAGAAGGAGAGAACACAATAAACAATCAAATTACTTTACAACAACAACAACACGCATCAATCAAGCAGTGAGGAATTCATTTAACAGGAGCGATCGAAATTCGACGCACAATAATGCACCTACAGCTGCACGATTTAACATTCGTCCACACACACGCACGCATACTACACTCTCCCGACACCTCATGCCTTCTGTGAGCAGAAAATAATCACCGTCATGCTTGCATCACCCGTTACCCACCTTGGTATCGCTCATTCGCCTGCCGCAGCAGCGCGTTGTCGTTCTGAAGACGACGATTTTTCGCCGCCAGGAGTCTGTCGAGCGACTGAACGGTTTCGCCAAGACGTGCGATCGACTCCTCGTTCGCAGTGGCTGCTTCGCCAAATTCGATCTCTCGAAGCAACCTGAAGAAGGCCGAAATCACAAGGCTCTTGCTCGAAAAGATTTTCCGGCGCACCTCAATTCCTTCTTGATGGCTTCGTAATCGCTCTGATCGGCAAGGAGAGCCTCGAGCTGCTTGATTTGATGAGCTCGCTTCTCCAGCTCCACTGCCAGCTCATCGCAACGACCACGAGCCTTCTTCGCCTCCACAGCTGCCGCCTCCACGAGACGCTGATTCTCCTCAGTGAGACGGGCAATCTGAACCACACCACACCTACACCCCATTTTTACTTACGGCTAATTCACTGCACCTTAGGCAGAAACGCAACATTGCTAGAAGTCAAAAGCTTGACCTACAATTTGAATTTTGTAATGCCGAGGAAACTCACCAGTTCGTCTTTTTCCTTCATCAGACCCCCTAGTGCTGCGATGTCTTCCAACCCCCCACGCTGGGATGTAGCGCGGGCTTCGGCCAACTCTTCTGTCATTCGGCTTAACTCCGCTTCCAAAAAAGCCTGAATAGCATTGCAGTAAACAGGATTTTGTACAAATATGACAGCATACAAACCTTTCTAACTGTTACATGAAATCTCCAGGAAAAAATCAGAAGCCAAACCACTTACCACTCTTCTGTTAGCGTCGTTCAAATCTCGACTCAAGATGTCAATTTGTTCGCTCTCCAGGGCTTCTTTGCGGTCAGCCGCCACCCGGGCGACATCCAACCGCCTTTGTGCCTCCCGCATCAACGCTTCAAGTTCGCTCACCTCAAAATGAAATACAATAACTGATCCGAATGAATTGAACTCTAAAGTTATTTTGATATTTCTCTACAGATGTGTAACTTTCCAAGTAAGGATCGACTATTGACAAGTCAGTGTTCATTTCCTCCGACACGAATATTTTATCTACTAATCGACCCTGAGTGAGGTTTAGCCGGCTTGAGCGTAATCCAGCTAAATCCCCGAATCGTGCACAAAAAATGTCCCCACTACCCTTACATCACTTCCTTCCAAGCTTGTGAACTAGATTCGAACGTGTTTACGTGAGTGTATGAAAAGTTCCTTTTGAAAAGCACTAGCGAATAGGGACCAGCCTAGTTTTCACCCTACCTTGTGGATGAGCCATTCACAGACCACTGCTATTAACTGTAAGATCGCCTCCGAGCAGTACTACAAGTTAATGAGCGAAATTGAACAGTTAGTGAGGAACAGCTACCAAGGCAGGGATAGCCGAGTGGTTAAAGGCACGCTCCGCGATCAGGCGGGCTCGCCTGTTCCATCCCGGGGTAGTAGGCAGGCGGACAAGCGTTGATGTCGCGCCCCTTTTGCGCTTGAAAGTGCGCGACAAAGGCGCAAGGAGCTCGTCCAACCCGCAACTCACACCTTCGTCCGCAAGCCCCACCCTTCGCTGTCGGTTGCCACGTGGCGCTGCTTGAAAAGCGCGGGCGCATTTGAGGCAGCGGTCCCAGCGCGATCCAATGTCATTGGCACTGGAGCAAGTAGAGTTAGGTTCGTGAAACTCGTCCAATTCGCCTCTTCTCTATCCCAAGGTGGAATGTGGCTGAAATAGGGAGGTCTCTGTATGGCTGGAATAGGGGAGGTCTCTGTACGGGGCGTAATAGGTGGTTTCGTTTGCTTTCTTCTCTTTTACAGACCACCTCGCACCTCCGATTTCCACACCTATTCTATCCCGAATCTTGCCTTTAAGAGGTTAGACTCATGTCTGCACCTCTGAAAAACCGCGAGTTCGATCCCTGCCGAGGCTCTAACCATGCCTTGCAAAAATTGCAAAAATGGTTCTAGTACCAGCGTCAGGCCCAGGTTGACAGGCCGGCTGATGAAGACCCCAGTCACACCAACATGTCTAAAGTCGAAAAAGAATCAGTGATAAAGCTAGGACGTCACCCGGAAGTGGCGCGCAGAACCCCCGCCCGAGTTCTGTGGTCAGTATGCGAGGGCTACCGAGGAGTGAACGGCCTCGGCCAAAGAAGCTAGTTCGAATTGGACTCTGAACGTAGGATCGCTAACGGGAAGTCCGGCGTGGCCATAGCGGTAGCGGAGTCGCTCAAGGACTATGTCTCCGCTGTGAACAGGATCAGCGATCGGATCATGGCTGTGAGGATAGACACGAAGGAGGGGTACTGGACCATACTCTCCGTGTACGCACCGCAAGCCGGGTGCCCCGAAAGTGATAAGGACGAGTTCTATCTGAGCCTGGACGAAGCCATAAGATCGGTTCCGGAAGGATGATTACCTGACCATAGCAGGTGACCTGAATGGTCACGTCGGCAGTGACAGAAGAGGCCTAGAAAAGCACGGAGGTAGAGGGATGATGGCTACAGCACGTTCTTCGCGAAAAGGGAGTCTCAAAGGTAACCTACAGCAGTGGAGGGAGACAGACGGAAATCGACCATGTGCTGGTAAGAAGATCATCCCTCAAAACTGTGAAGGATATCAAAGTTCTCCCGGCGAAGATCTGGCTCCCAGCACAGGCCCCTCCTGGCAGACATTGCAATAGACCTCCCCAAGAAGACAAAGTTACACCACCGAAGTCCGGAGGAGATAAGAAGAGTACTTCAGAGGGCTTCTGAACGACCTCACCAACTCACGGGCAGAGGCCACAGCTGGTCCCATCGCACTCTGGACTGAGGATGAGGTTAGGTGTGCACTTGGGAGGATGAAGGTTGGAAAGGCGGTTGGTCCAGATGGGGTGCCAATCGAGGCATGGAAGGCGCTCGGAGAGTACGGCATAAGGTGGCTCACCAGCTTCCTGAACAAGGTAACTGTGGAAGGAAAGGATGCCGGATGCATGGAGAACAAGTACTATCGTCCCCATCTTCAAACAGAAGGGTGACGCGATGGACTGCTCCAACTACCGCGGATCAAGTTGACTGCGCATACCATGAAGTTGTACGAGCGACTGGTCGACTCGAACTGCGGGAGCTGGTCCCGATCTCCCAGGAACAGTTCGGGTTCATGCCCGAAAGGTCTACAACGGATGCCATCTTCATCGCAAGGCAAGTGATGGAGAAGTATCGAGAAAAGCGCCGACCCTGCTACCTAGCCTTCCTCGACCTGGAGAAGGCGTTCGACCGGCTACCGCGAGCAGTACTATGGAGATCGCTCAGGGAACGAAACGTGCCAGAACACCTGATCTCTGGTGAAGGACATGTACGAAGGAGCCAAGGCAGCCATACGCACCCCACACGGCCTAACAAAGGAGGTAAACATCACGGTTGGGGTGCACCAAGGGTCAGCTCTGAGCCCGTTCCTCTTCCTCCTAACACTAGATGTCCTGGTGAAGGGGCTCATGGAGGGACCACTGAAGACCATCCTCTACGCTGACGACATCGCCCTGATAGCGGATAGCAGAGAGGAACTTCAAGCCAAGGTGCAGAAATGGCAGAAGTCCTGGCAGAAGGTGGGCTCCGGCTGAATGTCAAGAAGACCAAGTTCCTGAGCTCCGAAGAGGGTGCAGAGCCGATCGTGGACGGCCATGGTGAGACCATCGAAAGAGTGGAGGACTTCCGATACCTTGGGAGCGATCTGGCAGCCGACGGTAGTGTGGATCAGGCAGTGAAGGCTCGGTCAACGCTGCATGGATGAAATGGAGGGAGTCCACTGGAATCCTCTGCGATCGAAGGTGCTCCAGAACGCTCAAAGGGAAGGTGTACCGGACAGTGGTAAGGCCTGCGATGCTATACGGCAGCGAGTGCTGGCCCCTGAACAAGAATCACGAAAGGCAGCTTCACTCCGCTGAGATGAGGATGCTGAGATGGGCCTGCGGCTGGACGCGACTGGACAGGGTCAGAAACGAGGATGTCAGAGCGGTCATGCAGACTGCCCCTGTCCAGCTGAAGGTGCGGAACAGCGCCTGCGATGGTATGGGCACGTGCTAAGGAGGCCACAGGATCATCCGATAAGAACAGCGATGGACTTCGAAGTGCAAGGCAAGCGACCGCGAGGAGCCCCAAAGAAGAGGTGGAGAGACGTAATCAAGAAGGACCTAAGTGAAGTCATGGCCACAGCAGAGATGCCCTGGACAGAGCAAAGTGGCGACGACTGACAAAGACAGCGGACCCTGCGACTGCGCGGGACTAACGCTAGGGAGAAGAAGAAGAAGTGAGGAACAGCTACCGCGCTTATGAAGCTACCAAGTACCTTACCCCATTTTTCGACATCACTAATCACCAATTTTTACAGAATTTCAACTCGTCCGCACATGCTCCCATTGGAAACGGCAGGAGCACTTATTGTCCCTTACGATCAGGATAATGCGACTAAGACAAGTACAGAAAAAAAACTGAAGATTACTTGAACATCTACACCAATAACGATTAAAGATTCACTTTCTTTTCCAGAGCCGCGTTTTCAGCCTTGAGTTTGTCAGAACGCATTGTCGTCTCGTGATCACGGATTGAGAACTCTTCGCGTAAGTCCTTCTCAATCGCGTCGATTGCTTTTTCCACTTCTCTCGTCTTTTCTTCCTCTAGCTGCTTCACAGTATCTTTAAGTTGGCGGATCGTGACATCTAAAAATTACAAACATATGGATCTCAACCTGTTTTGGAAACAAACATTTTGAAAAACGACCGATTATTCAACAGCGGAAGCATGGCGAGCCGGCAATGCTAACCCAACAGGACATAGTATGCTATAAAAAAGGCTAACACGGCGAACAGGGCAATGGTGGTGAATCGAAAGCACAGTACCCTAAGCTGTGAAACTTTTCTAGTGGAAGCACGGCGAACAGGGCAAAGAAAAGCGTATAGGGGCACGGCGCCCAGGGCAAGCGAGACCCTCTCTAGTGGAAGCACGGCGAACAGGGCAAAGAAAAGCGTATAGGGGCACGGCACCAGGGCAAGCGAAACCCTCTCTAGTGGAAGCACGGCGAACAGGGCAAAGAAAAGCGTATAGGGGCACGGCACGCAGGGCAAGCGAAACCCTCTCTAGTGGAGGCACGGCGAACAGGGCAAAGAAAAGCGTATAGGGGCACGGCACGCAGGGCAAGCGAAACCCTCTCTAGTGGAGGCACGGCGAACAGGGCAAAGAAAAGCGTATAGGGGCACGGCACGCAGGGCAAGCGAAACCCTCTCTAGTGGAAGCACGGCGAACAGGGCAAAGAAAAGCGTATAGGGGCACGGCACGCAGGGCAAGCGAAACCCTCTCTAGTGGAGGCACGGCGAACAGGGCAAAGAAAAGCGTATAGGGGCACGGCACGCAGGGCAAGCGAAACCCTCTCTAGTGGAGGCACGGCGAACAGGGCAAAGAAAAGCGTATAGGGGCACGGCACGCAGGGCAAGCGAAACCCTCTCTAGTGGAGGCACGGCGAACAGGGCAAAGAAAAGCGTATAGGGGCACGGCACGCAGGGCAAGCGAAACCCTCTCTAGTGGAGGCACGGCGAACAGGGCAAAGAAAAGCGTATAGGGGCACGGCGCCCAGGGCAAGCGAAACCCTATCTAGTAGAGGCACGGCGAAGAGCGGGCTGAGGAAGCGTTTAGTAGGGCAGGACAGGTATCTCTGGAAGCACGGCGAACAGGGCAAAGAAAAGCGTATAGGGGCACGGCGCCCAGGGCAAGCGAAACCCTTTCTAGTGGAAGCACGGCGAACAGGGCAAAGAAAAGCGTATAGGGGCACGGCACGCAGGGCAAGCGAAACCCTCTCTAGTGGAGGCACGGCGAACAGGGCAAAGAAAAGCGTATAGGGGCACGGCACGCAGGGCAAGCGAAACCCTCTCTAGTGGAGGCACGGCGAACAGGGCAAAGAAAAGCGTATAGGGGCACGGCACGCCAGGGCAAGCGAAACCCTTCTAGTGGAAGCACGGCGAACAGGGCAAAGAAAAGCGTATAGGGGCACGGCACCAGGGCAAGCGAAACCCTTTCTAGTGGAAGCACGGCGAACAGGGCAAAGAAAAGCGTATAGGGGCACGGCGCCCAGGGCAAGCGAAACCCTTCTCTAGTGGAAGCACGGCGAACAGGGCAAAGAAAAGCGTATAGGGGCACGGCACGCAGGGCAAGCGAAACCCTTTCTAGTGGAAGCACGGCGAACAGGGCAAAGAAAAGCGTATAGGGGCACGGCACGCAGGGCAAGCGAAACCCTCTCTAGTGGAAGCACGGCGAACAGGGCAAAGAAAAGCGCGTATAGGGGCACGGCACGCAGGGCAAGCGAAACCCTCTCTAGTGGAAGCACGGCGAACAGGGCAAAGAAAAGCGTATAGGGGCACGGCACGCAGGGCAAGCGAAACCCTCTCTAGTGGAGGCACGGCGAACAGGGCAAAGAAAAGCGTATAGGGGCACGGCACCCAGGGCAAGCGAAACCCTCTCTAGTGGAAGCACGGCGAACAGGGCAAAGAAAAGCGTATAGGGGCACGGCACGCAGGGCAAGCGAAACCCTATCTAGTAGAGGCACGGCGAAGAGCGTAAAGAGAAGAGTTGAGGGGAGGAAGGTATTCTAGTGGAAGCACGGCGAACAGGGCAAAGAAAAGCGTATAGGGGCACGGCACGCAGGGCAAGCGAAACCCTCTCTAGTGGAGGCACGGCGAACAGGGCAAAGAAAAGCGTATAGGGGCACGGCACGCAGGGCAAGCGAAACCCTCTCTAGTGGAGGCACGGCGAACAGGGCAAAGAAAAGCGTATAGGGGCACGGCACGCAGGGCAAGCGAAACCCTCTCTAGTGGAGGCACGGCGAACAGGGCAAAGAAAAGCGTATAGGGGCACGGCACGCAGGGCAAGCGAAACCCTCTCTAGTGGAGACACGGCGAGCACGGCAAAGCACGGCGAACACGGCAAAGATAAGCATGTAGGGGCACGGCAGTCAGAACGAGCGTGAAACTATTTCTAGTGGAGGCACGGGAGGACTAAACGATTGGGACTCTCCATCAGATTCAACCATGGCGTTCGGCCTATTCAAGAAATTTTCACTCCCCCCCATTTTCCCACCCACCTCTCACCCCGCCCATTTTCCCTCCAAAATGGCCCCCTAAAGGCAGGAGGGAGAGGGATGTAAATATGTCCAAAGAAAAGGCAAATGTTCTGACTTTCATTTAATGCTTATTTTGCAATTTTTTATCAAATACCCCGTCAAAAAAGAGCCCCTCTTCCGCAACCACGAGCCTACTGGCCTCAAAAAGGTTCCATTCGACCTTCTGACCTTCAGAAACCTCAAGTGCGACCCCATCCCCAAAAACCTCGAAAACCTTCTCCATCTGCCAACCGGACGGACGGTTGACCACGTTCGGCATGCCGGGTAATGAAATCCATGACCAGCGAATAGGAGCATAAGAAGTATCATGGAGGGGTACGTGGTATATTGAGCAGCCCTCCGAGTATGGGTGCATGAAGAGCGGGTACAGTTGACTGAACACTAATGAATCTAACACTCAATTTTGCGTGCACGGCAATGGATCCTTATTTATTAAGGTAAACATCATCAAGTCCACAGCAGGTCACGCCGCAAATTGATCTGCGCCCGTTAACACAAAAATGGCGTAGTTTCATCGAACAGTAAAGCTCTGTATCTCGTCTCGCGTCATTTTTAAACATGGCAATAGGAAAAGCAATGCGTTTACGCCGGTTTCAGACTTTGCGAATCTCGCTCGATTCGCAAATCCTGACATCGACTTTACGTAGTCTTTGAATCAGCAGAAATTGCCTGAGGTAACCCACCCTGATTCTTCAAATCAGCCAACTCGGTATGGACTTGCGCGATTTGGGTTCGTAAATGATTTGCCTCCTCAACCGCTATGTTCGTCTTCTCCGCTTGCGATTTCCAGACGATCGCCTGTTCAATAATTGGCGTCGGATCTGAAAATAATCAGATCCTAAGAATCCATCTGATATTATCACCTACGTGAACAAAGCGCAATTTTTCGAGGAATCAGTTTCTATTGTTTCACTATTTATGCAACGATTCACATATATGTAGACATACAAACCGTGTCAGAACAGATAAGATACCAAGAGAGAGGAATGCGGTACTTGTGGCGGATATGAGGTCAGTACGATTGATGATGTGGTAGGATTTATCCCTTGAAAGTTGCTGCACAAATCAAGTAGACCGTGTACCCTAAAGAATTTCATGGACTTCGCGCGATCCCATGCCACATCTGCACAGTATTCAGCTGCTCTTCAGATTTCGCCTATGCACTTGCAATTTGGTGATCAATTCTAATTTTTGAGCCCGCTCACTTGAGCCATACTGCACGATGATTATGAGACGATCCCATCTGCGTAAGCGCAGAAGCTGTGCAGATTTCGCGGCCATAGGAGGCATGCCAAAAACCCTTAGTTCATGTCGTTCGCAACAGTCGCCCACCTACGAAATAAATCTATGTCCACCAATGTACGCGAGAGGTGTATGGGTGCATTCCGTCTTCTGATCACTTGTTCGTGGCAACAACATTTTCCAACAAGCTCTACTCTGTGATCCTAATTCCCCATCCCGCAAAAGAATGGACTTTGCAGGGCATTCTTCATGGCACCCTCAGCTCTACTCTTTATGATCAGTTCACTTCGCAAGACACTTTCGGGTTCATATCCTTCAATTCAAATGCTGCTATCGTAGAATGTGCTTTTTTCAACATGAAAGTATGACTGAAACTAGGATCCATCTCTAAAAGAATTTTCCCACTTCCTCCTTCCCACCTTTTTGGAATTCCCCCCTTCCACTAGCGACAGCAATGCTATCATTTAACGTTCCACCTCCGCTGTGTCGATTTTGCAGAACTGTTTTCAAATCAGCCTGCCCTTACGGCATAGCTATGACAAGAAGGAAAAGGTAAAACTTTGTATCAGAGGATCTCAGTGGTGTCGCGTAGGCGAGCATTCTCTGTTATCGCAAGCGAGGTTGAAAGCGCGATGCATTGTAGCAACGGTTTGCTAACCCAACTTGCGTTTGTTCGCTTTTTCATCATTGAGATGAAGAAAATAACAATAGCAAGAGCATGCAGACCCAAAGTTTCATGGTAGCATTTTTCGTCCGAATCGTTCCTCTATCGAATCTCGGGTACTTTCACACAGAAAATGATCGAGAGTAAGTAGCATAGAGGCAGGTACCGTCACAGACCCATTCAACACACACAGCTGGGAGTGGGAAGAATAAAATCCAAAATCAGTGAGCTTCCCCTCCTGTCGGAGGAAAACCCTTTGAATGCACGATAAGCTCAACTGCATGATGGTTGCGAGTTCAGTGAACAGCTCTTCGGGAGCAGCAATTGGAATAATTGGTTATCTCTCAAGATCTTACTCACTCATCCGGTAGTAATTGAGTTCCCCATTCGGGAAAAACCCTAGCTTGACCTTACAGGCTCCACCACTTCTCACCTGGCTCACCGCCACAACTACATCATGCCCATAGTCAAAGCACCTCGCCAAGCCCTGGAACGGAGGTCCAATGAGAACGTCTCCTCAGCCGTTACTCTTCGACCCATGGCTCGAACGGTCGTTCTGCGCATTCATCTCTCAGCAGACGTCTACTATCGCGACAAGCTCGGCACCAGTCTATCAGAACGCCATCGGCTAGAGCTCATCGATTCGGTCGGGGGTTTCGCTGCCGGCCGGCCTTGTATCGATTCGGCATCGATCGCAGCCGGCCTGTGCCGATTCAGAAGCGAAATCAGCCTCTCGCACACCATCACCAGCAGCAGCTCTGCTCTGCGTCCAAATTCGAGCCGAGCAGCGCTCCTACTGATCGATCTGCACCGAAGGTGCCAACTGCGTACCGACGAGAACACCGAAACCACAGGGATGAACGATGGCCACTTAATCAAAACCCCACACTTTGAAAAATAAACCCCCAGAAGGCAGGCGTCAGAATCGACAAACAGAAAAAGTAACTATTCACGGCTCATCCAGGAATAGCACACGGAGTCAGGGGTTCGAGAAAGAGGTGTCCTTCGGTAGAGTTTGCGCAAAGTTAACCTCTCCCGATTACTGCGCCCTTTATCCTTGCGGGAGCGCCAAGTTAAGCAAGCCCGAAAGCTCAGGGAGACAATCAACCAGAGTAATTAGAAGTCCACATTCCCAGTAACAAGCGTGGAAAATAGGAAAATGGGAAAAATGTCGAACGAGTAAAAACATGGTCACAGCTAAAGATCACCTTCCGTCAGTTCAAAAAGAATTCAATTTTAACATGCTCAAATAATCACTGCACTATTAGAAGTGTCCCATTGGCCCTAGCAGATTTAGCGGCCAAGATCCAGCGACGTTCGCTTTCGGGGAGAAGTGAGGCCAAGGCTAGCGATTGATACGCCTTCAGGGAATAATTGTTAGCCATAGCGTGAGCAGGCACATGGGAAGAGGTTAAAGCCTCAAAATTGCGAAGGTCGTCGAGCAAGCGGACCCGGAGGAACCCCACCATCAAGCATGTTCGTGTTGTGAGTGAACACAACTAGAACATCGTAAGAATATAAGGAATCACAGAAAAATGCCAGAAACGATGGCAAACAGCGCCAAGAGGCCAACGAGAGCGCTCAGGGGCTCGGATCGACGCAGATCAAATCAGCAGCAGGTCGGGCCATGTGCAGCTCACGCACAGCCGTCTGACCCGATGTGGAATCACCAATATCGGGCAGAAAGAGGCTGTCCGCTATCGATCGGTAGTCAATGAGCGTGTGCGCAGTGTTGGACATCGACGATCGATCGGGGCGGGGCTTCCGGCCAACTACCGTATGCCGTCACCAGCCATCGATCTACTGCGATTGGAGACCGCTCGCACACCTCTGCTGCTGTAGCCGCCGACGGACACCGTAACCGATCGGAGGGCGCACGAGCGGTCCGTGAGCGCGGGTTCACCCCGAGGGGTCAACTCCCCTCAGGCGAGTTTGGGAATATTCGGCGGCACTCCCACAGAAACATCCACGTCACTGATGAAAGGATTCAAGCTGTTTGGCAGTTAAGAGCCTAAAACGCGTCTGTCCTACCAGTGGCTACTGCAATTCACCATACCACGGTTTCACTGCGCCATTTATTATCAAGGAATAGAGGACCTCTAAGAAGTTCACAAAGAAATTCTTGATGGTATAGCACAACCAAACGAGACTATAATAACCTGCTTTCAAACAGATAATATCTGATTATCACTTGAATCCAAGACAACAGACCCATTAGAAAGCCAATAAAAAGCAAAAGTGATCACATCAAAAACAAAACAAAAACAAGGACTAATTCCTATAGTTGCAGAGAAAAGGATTCCTTTCCATATTAAGATCTAAGCACTGCTGAGGACTGGCCAACTGTTAAGGACCTCAGCACTCCTGGATGGCCCTGGCCTTTTTACGGCTCCGTTTTTGGAGAAGGCAAAGAATGCTCTAGAAACGAGTCCTTAAGAGAATTCACCTCCCATTATCTCCCACTAGCACCCACGCGTTTCCAGTTTTTGCTTTCCTCTCGGTTCACAACTGCTGAGACCCACACAAAAGCGGTCCTGTACAATGTTTCGAAGGCTTAGAGATTCTTCAACGTTGTACTGCAGCGCGACAGTTCGAGAGAAAGAGATCCCGCTTCTCCACAGCCAAAGTAATTAGAATGGCAGAGCGAGGGAGAAGGCCGAATGAACGAAAACCCAATACAGAAAGGATCAGAATAAATCCTCTATGGTCCAAGGTTCACGTCGGTAGACCGCTGGACTTGTCGTACTTGTTTCCACCTATCGACTTCGAGACGTTGCTCATTCAAAGAGATCCTGAACTCGCTTCCAGAGTGCATTCTCGGCAATCGATTACCAGCCTCGGGTTTAGCCAATCGATGCTTGAGGGGTTTCCCCCGAAAGCAGAGCAGCGCCGAGCACGGCGCTCAGAAAAATCGAACACAGCCGATGAAGTTTGGCGATAGTAGCGGTTCACTAAAGCCAAGTCCGAAACAGCAACTGGGTACGTGATGCCTCCAGATCACAGAACTCGCTTAATCACGGTAAATCGCTAAACTTCACCTCTTACTGTATCTCACAAACAAATTTGACAATCGATAGCAATCGTTCGATTTGCCTAAAGAGGGCTAATGTGGGCGCCGAAGGAAACGTTGATGCCGTTGTTGGACTAGTACTGATCAGCGCAGCAATTCAGAGCATTCCCACTTCATTCAAGTTTTTGTGGATTGGGGAGTTACATGGCCCATTTCCAAATATCAACAGAACACTGGGAAATGACGTCATTCAACGCTACTCAGCACTTTCGTGAAAGAAAAACAAGGTTCAGAAGGACTAGCGGACAACTTGGTCATAGAGAAAAACCTTACCAGGAAGGTTTGTGAGCTGAGAGCAGATTTCGATCAGCGCCGCTTCAGTTGCTTTTCCTCTCACAGTCAGCTGATCGACTTCTTTTTGAAACGCTTTTATCAACGGCAGCGCGACGCGTCGGGTTTCCTGAAATAGGGAAATTTTCACTGCATCCACTCTTCCTTGAGAGATCAGACTGAAATCAGAATTTCGCTCGGTCCAAGCAGCGCATTTTCCTGCTCATTCCCTAATCGATCTCAGTTCCTTCCCGCTTTGATATTTCCGGGATAATTGTTAAGCCTCGCTATGACAATCGATCAAGCCTGCTTTTCGACCCAAACGGCGATGTGCAGCATCGGCTGAGCTCCTCTGAGCGGCGCCTCTATTGATCTGACGTCTACAGCACGGGATTCAACGTTTTGAGGGTACTATTTCTGAGAGTTCAGTGCAGAACGGTTGTTTTGTGTGCATTCCTACGAGACCCTAAACAACAAAGCGAGCCAATTCACGTGGAGCAACTTTTTTGATGAGCAGGGAAATACTATTAGGTACCGGATATCTTAGTGTCGCTTTTCTGAGTTCAGGAAGTTTTGGGGCCGATTACTATGGAAAATCAATATCCCAGAAGGCAGTTTTTGCTCATTAATATTGCGAAATATGTTGCTTACCGTTTTCTATTGTTGGTTCACAATTTAACTTTCCCCCAATTTTTATACTTTTTTGAAAATTCCTGGGTCCAGTGTGCAAATTCGCATGTGTGTACCAAATGCTTCAAAATTCTTGCTGAGAGCTACAACTTCCGCCCACCAAACCAACATTGCATTTGTTGGAGGGAATACTACCATTTAAAATGCTCATCGGTTTTTCACAGTTTTCTTAAAAGACAGTAAAGTCTTTGAAGTGATGCCCGCAATCGTCGTCAAAAAGGTGGCCCTAGTTAAATCAGTCGAGACGGGGCTGCACCAGTCTTGTGCTGAAATGGTAGGACACCCTAGCAGTTGACTGATCGATGGTGCACAGACGCTCTAACGAAGTTGATTGCACAAGAAATTCTAATAAATGTGCTCATCTGCTACTCACGTGTGCTCAAAAAGGGTGCGTTTTTGACCCTATGTGGCAAAAAAGACTCCGGGAAAAATTGTCCAGTTGAGCTGGTAAGTAATAAATTTTCCACCAAACAGTGCAGACCCTACTCTAACTAAATGTATACTTATTTTGTCCAGGCCTAACTTTTAGCAAGTGAGAGGGATGATTTGTCAGATGATGTCAAAACCGACCTACCTCTCTTTTTCGACTCAAAAAATTCCTAGCTTTAATCGTACGAGGTTTCACTCATACTGGTAAATGGGAAAGGGCTAATGAGTCATTCGATGGATATGCCGTTTCACTCACTGGATTTCTGAATTAAAATATTGGTGGTCCGAAACTCGCGGTGAAAAAACGACACTAAGATATCCGGTACCTAATAAAACCATGCGTCTCCACAACTACTCACGATAACAGCCTTTAAAACTTCCTTCTCGAACTGGCCAATGGTCAGATGATCCAGGAGGGCAAACATAGCCATTAAACCAATTATACTCAAAAACAGCAGTGAATCAAGTCAACAATGATTTCGCTGCGGAAGGTATGAGAACGTTGACTGAACCCCGTGAGACTAATCTCAGCCATTCGACAGTAAGCGTCAATAAACCCGTGCAATAGCCTGCCAAAATTGGTACGAACCTTTACGTCGGCAAAAGCGGAGCTTGCTTTGAAAAGTATTTTCGAAACGAGTCTTCCAAGAGCCATTTCAGATTACTGGAAGGAAGACTAAGAGAAAGAAGTCATGATAGTTGTCGCAAAAAACAGCTGACATTCGAGAAACGGAAAGTTAGAAGGCATCTTTAGCTTTCGCGGTGATGCTCTTATGTGTCTCCTCGCGCCTTCATGATCGTATTATACAGCCTTAGGGATCCCACGGATGAGATTCGGACTCTTAGGATCAACCTAGATTAATCATCGAAAGCTTGCACCAATCTCAGAGGGCTACTGCACAGTTCACTCAACACTGCTGAGGCTATTCCGCCTTCTTGGACAATAACGAAGGATTTATTCCACTTAATCAATAATGATAGAAATACTGACAGCTTTCAGATAGATAAACTTTTCTGATGTAAAAAGTTCTTTCCAACGTTCAACAACCCCAGGTCCGATAAATTGAAAAAAAATATTAAACAACATCCTCCGCGTGATTGCTCGAAATAGGAAATGAGCAACTAAGTACTGAAATGTTTGAACCTGCATAGGCCAATAGTCTCTTTGAGCAGCACAGAAGTGTCAAAATGCAATCAGTCGACGTCATCGCCAGAGTGGAAAAGGAGAAGTTCGGGTTTGAACAGGAAAAAAACGGATTTTGATTAAACAGAAAAAACTCAGAGAGCAAATCCACAGACTATTATTCACAGCGAAGAAACTTCATTGAGTCACCTGAGGATACGCCACGCATCTGGCTTCTACCGACATTCAAGATTCGAGTGCATACAAAACTTTTGAGGACTTCAACGACTGAATTGAAAGTTCTAATAGCATACGATATAAATTAGTAAATTCTAAACAAGCGAGGCAACCCATTCGCACGGCCATTCCTAAAATGGATAAGGGTCGTATCTGAACCTTTTGAAGGAAAGAGTGGACGTATTAGGTGACCCCGGCACTATGTACGTTCTTGGAAAAGAAATATTAGGTTGGCAAGAAAGTTCTGCGACACTTTTTCAAATTTTTGATTTTAATTTTATCTTTTTTGTTACAACTCCTGACCGGTCTTATATCTACCATGAGTGTCCACCACTTGTCTTCAACGCTCAGAAAATTTCTTGATGCTCCTTTGCCAAAACCCAGCGGAGTGCGGGTCGAGAAAGGAGGCGACCTCACTTTCGAGTTGGAGTTGATCGTCTAATTATTTCGTCATCAAGATGATGATGATTTAAAGTCCAGGATAGGTGGCAGTCATTCATAGCTCGACCAGGGGAATTACGCTAAGAGAGGTAAGAAATCTTGCCGCAACTCCAGAATTTCTTACCGGGCTCATTTCGGATCATGGTGATTCGCAATGTCATGAAAGAAATGAATATTGTCGCGGTACGAGGGCTCTTGACGAGCTACCTCGGCCAGCTTCTGGAATTTTGCAGCATAGACTCTCTACCTGCACAATGGTGCCCATAACGAAGAATTTGTAAATGAGCTTCCGTAGGAGCCCTTCCTGTAATGGAGTGTGTAGGACGCTGCTGGCCTCTTATGAAAATATCAAAAGATCGAAAGCGCTGATAAAGCTGAAACACGCTGTAGCGGTGCACGACATGCCTATTGAAGCGATTGCAGGGTCGTTGACACAAATCCACAGTTACGGAGACATTTGTAAGACATGTGATCGGAGTACATTAAAGGCAAAGGTCGGGCTTAGTGAACCTAACCAACCCTTTCGGTCATTCCTGTAATTGGTTACGCACCCATAGAGATGTTCCCATGCTCAAAATCTCAAACGACGCGGTAATAAGGCCTCAGGGCACGTACTATGCGCTATCGCCGCCTAGCCCCGCTACGACCGCCCACCTCGGGATGTGGCATAACGTGTGAAATCAGCTAGGTTGATTAGCCGTATCAACCGATAGAACGACTGATATCTTCAGAAAACTTGTTTGTACGTGCCTCTTCCCCAAGCCAGCCTCCTTCACTGCTAGTGGAAAGAGGGTTTTGTTAACGGCCTTGTCGACGGTTTTTCTCAGTTTTTTCTCCACTGTCGTTCCACTTCGCATCTCTATACTCAGTTTCAATCGCCATAATACCCCCTTATTGAGCCCGACTTTTGCCTTTAACAGTAGTCGGGATTTTTTGAATTTTCTTGGATAACTACTGACTGCAGCACTTATATCCACCTCGTGGATTGAAGCCACGAGAATGTTCTACCATTTGTTAGTCATAAATGTTACCTATTGATTTTTCAAAAAGAAAGAAAATTTTAGAAAGAGTGTCGCAGAACTTTCTTGCCAACCTAATAAAAACAGGAGTTCATGGACTGGAATTTTTAGGGAAATCTGTTAAAATTTGGTATTTCCCTCCTCCTATTCGACAGAACTCGGGAAGAATTTGGGGATCATCATCGAGAAAATGAACGATTGGGTACCAATCGACCGTTCCTCTAATTCTCAAAATGGGTACGAAGACGACCTCCAAGACAGGGTCAATCATCCATCAAAGCAATTTAACGGAAGGGGGAGCGTATTTGGCCAACGGAAAGGGAGCGCAAGCGCAGGGACGAGCGACAGATTTGAAAGTCACTAGGCATGACAACGGAGTGCAGACTTTTAAATTAAATTTTAAATTTAAAGTCCTCATTTTGAAAAATTTTCAGGAGAGTTCACAATTCGTAAAGCAGTGATCATGAAGCTTTCGACGATTTTACCGATTCCCATGAAACTGTTTGAAAAAAAAACTTATAACGCATAAAAGCTGAAAACTCGCGTCACGAAAGTATAACCCGAAAAAATCAAGAAAGGAGGTAAATGAGACTATTTTCTAAACGAGCAATCTTTTAGTGAGGTTTCGATACTTTTCCGAAAGCAATTGTCCGTAGATTCTGATTAGTTCTAAGGATCTGAGAGAACCCAATTCTGAAAAAAGTCACTAACATTAGAAGGTTGAACGTTTACAATTACACAGAAACGACAATAGTGCGACGTTTTTTGGGAAAGTGAACATCCATTTTTCATACTGCTGAATTTCAATAAGTGCTTTGACGGAAGTCTACATCGGACCTTCCGAAATATTGAAGATAGACAGCGGTAGCGGTCAGAAGTGTTACCCGAGACGCTTTTTAGTCCCTTTCATTTCTTCACTTGAGAGAAAGATCTGAAGATTAGCTTGAAGCTTTCTTTCAAACATCTGAGCCCTTCGAGAATCAAGTTTTGAAGGATTTAAAAGGCATGCTTTGCTGATTTTTGAAGGGCCCTGATTGAATGAGAAAAAATAATACACGAAAAGACGTTTCGGCGAACACTTTTGACCGCAACTCTACATACATCAAGAAAAGGGCTCGCTCGCAATCGCCCCACTTCTTCACCAGAATTTGAAGACACTTATTCTTCTGCGTTACTACAGGAAGTTTCTGA